TAATTTAGCAGTGTAAGACTAAAAGGAAGGCAGCTAATCGTCACCACCCACCGCCAACTCTTGGGCTGCTCTTTTACCAACGAATAGCGGGATTGACCGTCACATTATAACGCCCCCACGGCTGAAAGGGCGAGCATGTTTGGTGTGACAGGGATTCGAAACCGCGACCCTCAGATTGCGAGTCGAGTGCCTTAACCACCTGGCCATGCCGAGCCGAATTTATGAGGAATCCAGAGGTATACGCCAATCAATAATTGGATAACGTCCAAAGAAGTTATGATTGGTTTTTGTTTGTATAGTTGGGTGATTCCCCTCCCCCTTTATTCAAACAGTCGTCATGACATCGTTGTAGTATATTATCTATGGAACACTCACAATTTCCGAACAACGATCCCAGAATCTCTGAGTGTTATTTTCGAGATGGAAACGAGGTCGGTTTCAAAGGTAACTTGCAAAGGTAAAGTAGTGAAATGACCGAGGTGTTACAAGTGTAGCAGGTGTGAATGAAATCATGATGGCACACCGATTGCTCACCGTAAGAGAGGTCAGAAAAACTTCGACCGAAGAGGTGCTGTCAAGCCTCCAAAGTAAATTACATCAGCGTAGAAGAGCGGTAAACTTAAGGATACATCCAACGACTTGCCCTCCAAAGGGGATGAGAGCCTGATGCGAAGAAGGAGGAGGATTCAAAATCAGGTAAGGAATGAAGAACTTTTTATGTGGGAAGTGCAAGAATATTACAACGATAAAAGAGAACTAAAATAATGGCAAAATAGCATGACCATAGCGTGCGAATGGTCCACTCTGATGGCATAGAAACAACTTAACGACTACCCCACTATCTACCAAAACAGTCATATTTTCTGCCGTTGAGTCAGAGCTATATTTCTTGTTTATTTATGAGGTCCCACTATCTACCAAAACAGTCATATTTTCTGCCGTTGAGTCAGAGCTATATTTCTTGTTTATTTATGAGGTATGACCTCCTGAAACACAAGACGACGAAAATTTCATAAGAATATCTTCCCAATTCTTAGGTCACGCTCGAAACATTTTAAAATATCAAATATTTTAACCGGACGGCAAAGCATTAACTTTAACTTTAACATTTAAAAAAGGAAGATAAAACCAAAACTTCTAGTTGTTTTGGTGGTTAGCAATTTTTTTTATAAAACTTGTAATTGAACAAATTAGGCCTAAGGGTTTCTAATGGAGCAAATGAATAGCTAAGTGAATTACATTAATATATAATTGACTTATTATACTGATATCTAATAAACTGATTATAAACAGATTAACACTAAGCGAAACGTTGAAACTAAGCCTCAATTTGGATTATAGTTTCTGAGAAATGATGCGTTTTTTTTATTTATTTTACCATGAAGAAATGTTAAAGTTGTTTGTGAGGATGTAACTCATATAAAATAAAATTTTCAAAACTAAAACACCTAAAACTTGAAGTTCCTTACAAGTATTTTAACTTCGTGTTTTTACTTTTCAATTCTGACAGCTGTATGTACAAGTAAGCAATCTTCATGTTGTTTGTTCCGGATTTCGCGCAAAGCTACACGAGGGCTATCTGCACTAGTCGTTCCTAATTTAGCACTGTAAGATTAGAGGGAAGGCAGCTAGTCATCACCACCCACCGCCAACTCTTGAGCTACTTTTTTTACCAACGAGTAGTGGGATTGACCGTCACATTATAACGCTTCCACGGCTGAAAGGGCGAGCATGTTTGGTGGGACGGGGAATCGAACCCGCGACCCGCAGATTGCGAGTCGCAATCTTCATGACTGAACGAATTAAACTTTATCTCAAACTGCCTTGTTTTTCATCGTGGATTTCGAGACTCCCTTAACAACCCAGAGTAGAAAGTCTGTGGAACTTGTAATCAGTATTCATTATC